AAACAAGGTGACAGTGTAAAAGGGGTTGTTCGTGACTGACATTTATTAGGTGGCTGGAAACAACACCAAATGAATGACAATGTTGCTTTGTAACTCCTGGGTGTGTAAATAAGACTAAAAACTGTTCTCGCACCATATCAAGTTCAAGGATAAGGCCGGTCATTTTCTACATTAATAGTATTTTCAGCAATGTCCATACAAAGACTAAAACTGACAATGACTTGTCTCTACTCACAGTTAGCGTCTGTCAGCTGTCAGTCCTGGATCAGCTTGTCTGTCTGTTGTTGTTCAAAAACAATTAATCACACATCAGGGAAACACACCGTTGCTCTGGGTGACACATTTTTTCATTACAAACCCCCAGACCCAGCCATGTTGCCAAAGTCTCAGAGAGGCCATAAATTCCAGAGGTTAGCACGAGTCAGAGTCAACCGCTCATGTGTGACATCTTGCACGAGCTTTGTTTACCTTCCACTGGCTTCTCACGCTCAGGTTTGGGGTTTGCTAATGAAGAAATACATCACCCAGTGCAACGGTGTGTTTCACTGATGTGTTTTTAATCATTTTTGAACAACAATGGGCGTCTACGGCATAGACGAACATGCTGATCCAGGACTGACACACTGATGGACATTAACCACGAGTAGAGGCAATTCATTGGTGGTTTTAAAATGATTTATGACTGTTGATTTGACATCTCAGTGTGCTTTGTTAAAGAATGGCTGAAGAAATGAAAAAATTACATTCAAATACATTTAGGGCTGAAGATACAGTAAAAAATACAGGCTTTCTTCTTTTCTGAATCCATGTACGTCACATGCAACAGACTTTATATTCTATCCACCCATTAAATAATTAATTTGCTTCAGTCTCACAAAAGCAAATAGGAGTTTACAGTATCTATCTATAAAACAAAGATGTTTTACTGTGGGAAATACACAGGATGGTCATATTTAGCAGCTTGCTCAATAAATAAGACCACTTTCTTTGCAAGTTGTGAGCCACTATTGAGACCAGGCGTGCCCTGATATGACATTGAAAATAGAGCTGACAACAGCTCATTCTGCTACAAGCCCCTGGGCAGCAGTACCGACAAAGACTAAATGAGTTTCATCAAAAAGCAAAAGAAGCCGTTTGAAGTTGAAGCCACATAACTAGGCCGGAGCACAAACATTCAAACAAATACTTACACACCTAATAATGAGATTTTGTTATGCAGCATGACCGTGGACAACACACTAAACAGAACAAATGGCCACAGTTTAAATGTGGTATTTGTGTTCATTTTTAAAATAAATGGGGAATAAGTGGACTGTAACACTATGTAGATGATATAATAATTAAGAATAATTTCACAACAGTATGTTATTTTTATCTACCGAATGCAGTTTGCTAACAATTTCAGAGTTTGCTTACTGGATTACTTACTTACTGTACATGGACTAGCATTTATATGGCCCGCAAAGTACTCTACACTGCTTGTCCATTCACCCACACATTCACCACTCACACACACACACTGACGACAGGCAGAGTAACCATACAAGGCCACTGGGAGAAACCTGAGGTTTAGTGTTTTGCCCAGGGACATTTTGACACGTGGACTAGAGAAGCCGGGAATCAAACCGTCAATCCTGCAATTAGAGGACGACTTGCTCTGCCTCCTGAACAACAGCCACCCCGATACAAGACAACGTAGACAGGTCAACTCCCTACAGATGCAACTCTGTAAGTCAAATGTGTTTCCTTTCTCACGTTTCCTTGGATCAGCAGATTTGACATCTTGTATCATTCCAGAATAAACACACAGTGTTCCTATAGGATACAGTATAAGGCTAATAAGTTGTCGTCCAAACACAAAGTGCAAGATGTAGCATTCCCACAAAATGAGGCACAAATATAATTTTAGCAAATAATTTTCATGCTGTGAGAGCACTAGGAAGCCTTTACACACACAGGTGTTTTCACTTATACTGGCTCATTAGACCTCTTCTCAGGACTGGATGGGTCTGTACAAACTGCTCGACTAACACCTGACTTGCCCTCTAGTTTTATCAGCCAGGGTAGAAATACATATGCCTTCATGATTTTAAAAAACAAAGTTTGGCGACATTAGCAAACTTGCATCATATTGTAGCTGCACTCGACTTCAAACTGAATAACGGAGAACACCTGTGTGGGTGTGCAGCACTAACGCCTACCCATGTTGTTTCTGTTTCTCGGGTAAAATTGAATTTCAAAAAGCCATTTTAGAAACAAAATGAGCAAATCTGAAGATGTGGGAGATGTGTCTTGTTAGAGTGTTTGCTGTCCAGAAGCTCTGGTGAATGTATTTGGTTCTGAAATGGTTTTGTCTGGAGGCTGCTGGATCTAAATGTCGACCTGAGAAAAAAAAAAAAGTGCACTATATCTCTGATACCAGGTCAACCCTAATTATTTTTAATTCATTCCATGCCTTTGTCCGTTACTGCCACTTTTACCAATTCTGCAGCTCTGTGCCAATCAATAATCATTCACAATGGCCGCAAACAAGAGGTCAGTTACTCATATTTCTTTTTTATATTCATGGATATATTGCTTTGTCTTGAGTTACAGCCCATCACCTTTACTAACTGCATACTTGCCTCTTGCAATGAATATTCCACATCCTGTATCAGTTTCTCAATTTGCTATTTCCTTACTGCAGCTTTTTCTTCCTCTCAGCAATGTTCATTACAACTAAATCTGCTTCAGTTTGCTACGCTTCTTTCTGAAAATAATCGACTTTGAATGATACTTGATAAAACCAATTCTTCGTGTACTTCTAAAGCTCAGACTTCCTTGTGTGTGATTTGTGTATTTCTATTCCCATTTTAAAAACCAAGAAATGTTAGCTATTTCTACTAATCATTGTATTTTTCTATGAAATGAATTGATATTGATTCCCTATATGAAACTCCTTCTCCTTTCTACTTAAATTACCATTCTTAAGTGATAAAACCATTTGAAATGACCTTAAACTGTTTTTGTGCAAAAAAGCTTTGGGCAAAAGCAATCTGAAAATCAACATATATGTTATGCCAAAGCATTTTTTTCAGTGGTGAATGGAACAGCCCTTAAATTTTTGTTTTTGGTATTTGGACTATTTGCACACTCCTCCACAAAGCCAGTTATCTACAATATGACTTGGGCAATGACAGAGACGGTCTGGACTTACTAACCACCTGAAATCTTCCAGATGATTTTTCTTCCACTGAGAATTAGACAAAGGATCCAGCAGTGCTGATCTTTAATGACTTAAGGTTCCTTGTGAAATCACAACAGGCAAGAACCTCACTCATGACACCATCAATCAGGAGGGACCTAAAAGACGGAAATCACATTCACCTTGTATTCACCTCTTACTGGGTTCATAATTGCAGGAGATGGGTGTTCTCGGGGTCTGGAGTCCATTACCATACACCCATGGACGATGATTAATGACGCGGCGGGAACAAACAGCGAGCAACCGCTCTCAAACAGCGTCTGTAAGTTCATATGCCACCAAACACAAGAGTGTTTGATATTTGCAAGACCTTGTCTTGCACTTCAAAAAGTGTATATATGTATGTATGTATGTGTGTGTGTGCTTGGTAGTGTGTCTTAAAGTGCATGTATGAAAGAGCACAGTGGTAATTCTGTGTGCAGTCATTAAGAATATGACACTGATTAGATTAATTGCCCTGAATGTGACCATCAATAATGCTAATGTGTCTGTTTCCTAAATCTGATCCACCTTTTTAATGACTACTTTACATGACTAAATTAGTGCTGGTAATCAATCAGTCTGTAATGAAAGGTATTGATGACAGCTACTTTAAGTAAATGCAGGAATATCTTATATGTGCACCTATCATTGACAGCTGATGTCTGAAGAGCAGTTTTGATGCTCTGCCTACTAAGGCTAATCCAAAATGGGCAAACAGGTGGAGGATGAGTAGAGTGTGCTAGACAGCTAGTAGCTAGCCACCTATGGTGGGACCCGCCCACCTGTCACTCAAAGTGGCCACACTCTTATTTATGTGCAAGTTTTAGTCTCAATATAATTTAAATGGAAATTAGCTATAGAGACCAAAATTGTTTTTTGTACCAGGCGGTAAACATGTTTCTTTCTGCTGTAAAGTTGAGCATTTTAACATGGGATTCTATGGGGGGTGAATCCCTTTTGGAGCCAGCCTACAGTGGCTGTGCAAGGCAATGCAGGTTTTAACACTTCCTTACTGGCTTCATCTCTCAGCCTCGGATGCTGCCGCTCAGTGTTTCTGCATAACATGGTCTATCCACTTGTTAAGTGTGGCGTAACATTACATGTCTGGATCCAAACTCCCTGTCACCGTCTACAAACTAGCATCTTTTTTTTTTTTTTAGCAAAGCATCTTTGAGAGAGAAAAAAAGAAAAGGACTAAATTCTTTCAACTCAAATACAATAGTCAGAGTAGCTAATAATCAAACTCTGTTACATGTCATGGTAAATTTACCGTTACATTTGTCAGTGTATAGTGTTTACGTTAAGTTTGTGCTAACTAGCTAGCTACATTACAAGGCAGCAAAACAGCGCACCTTCAGAAGTTTTACTTTTATTGAATTAAATATTTATTCAAGAAAACTGTGACTTGCCAACTATGGCTATTTCTTTTTTTCTTCATGTGGAACTGAGGAGAATGAAGCTAAGTTTGGACCCGGAAACAGAATGTAACATCACTATTTAACAAGCAGATATAGATATACAGGAGAAGCATTTTTTTTTAGCAAATAATGCTATGTGTTTTTGGAAAGCACTCGGTCCAGAATTGTGCTTTTATTATGGAACTTCTGAAATCCTTTTTGAAAAACCTATTTACTAGAGTGTTAAAAAAAACCACTAGCAACATGTGGTGCAGTTTCTTTTCCTCTGTAAAGTAAACAAACAACAGGGATCTGTTTGCTGTAAAGGCAGGTCCTTGGTTGACACACAGCATGGTGCGTCTTCAACAGAAACTCACCGACGGGGCTGGCTTCCCCCCCTTTGCAGTGCAGACGAGAGTGAAATTCTGGGCTTGATATCGACTGAATGGGGCTGGAGTGTTCTCTGCCAACACTGATATGTTGTTTGGAGGAGCTGTGGAGGACAGGACAAAAGCTTTGTGAAACAATAAAAAAAAAAATAAAACAAGCTCATGTATTGTTAAACCATTATACAACATCTGTTTTCATTAGATCAGTGCAACCCAGGAGTTACTATGTGAAGAAGTGTCCTCTTTGGGTTACACAGGTAGGTGGAGCATTGGCAATACTGACAGCAGAGCAAGAAAGTGAGAGCAGAGAAAGAGCAGTGCTGTTGTGTCCAGATGTTTAAAAAAACTGACTAAAACAAATCTTAAGACCTGCTTTATCTATCTACTGTATCTATTTATTAAAAAAAAAAAAAAAAAAAAGGACAGTGTGTAGAGAATCTCCACTTAACTGGATCGTTGGGACAATATGTTCACAACTCCCCAGAGCTTATGTGAGTCAGATGAGGCTGATAAGGTAGAAATCTCATACATACCGTATCACTTCACTAACCCTCCATCTGAATCTCTCTAGGGATCCCAACAAATGCATCATAATAGTGCAAAGATAAAATGTGAGTAAGGTTTCAAACCATTATAGAGGAGCACTGGGAGGAGGAGGTAATGAATGGAAATCTCCCACATCCCCCAGAAAATCAGCTGTTCATTAGGCAGTACTGTAGTCCTTCTATGGTGGCTTAAATATGAACATGAAGGGGTAGCTGACAAATATGCAGGAATATTTTAGTTTTCTATCACCAAATAACAGGAGTTTAATAATATTATCCTGTGTTAAAGTTACTTTATGCAGGTTGGAGCCAAGACTTTCGACCGCCCCTGCAGTAAATTCTGGTCCTGTGTGAACTGGCAGGATCTGTTTAGTTTCTGCTCCATTCACTGAGGACTTCCTCCTTCCGTACAGGATCAGCATTCAGTCTTTCCTAGTACTTGCTTTCTCCTTTTTACTGAACATGTCTGCCTCACTCTGATTAAAAAAAAAAAAAAGTTAGAATAGCATCTTGTAATAGGCATAGCATGTTCAACATGCTAAATACATGGTTATCTGAAAGATAAAATTGAAGAGGAAAACAATTTCATGGGTAATTTAATTTTCACCATTAAATTAATTCAATATGTATGTTCTGAATATTTATTTATTTAATATGTGTAATATGGTGTGACAGATGTACCATCATGTGGTGTGATGAAGAAAAACTGTCACAACATATGATTTATCTGTCACACTATGTAATGTTCTGTTTAGCTAAGCTAATCTTTTGGTTCACTGGGTTTTACTTAACATGTCTTTTGCACATGGTAGCAACGATTTTTAAGAATTACTAACTAATGATTATGTATGTATTTCATTTTAATATAAGCTATGTCACACCATAAGACAAAAACACTGACCACTAATGAAGCCATCAGAGACAGCTTTTAATTGAAAAAGTTAGTATGGAAAAGCATCTCTTCATCTTGCCAAAGACTCCAGAGATGCTGATTGACCACAGACCTTTTCACCATAGTAATGTCCAAATTGATGCCAGATAAAAATACAGAATACAGAGTCACACCGTAAGACATCCATCACTGGACAGAATGTACTCGGCCAGAGCTTGATTTAACTTTATGGATAGACATCGGCACTTTCTTGGTCCCTTAGAAAAACACCCTTTCTCTTACTTAAACTGTAAGCCTATCAATTATTCATATTTTTCTTGAATATATTCCCATATTTGTAAGGTCACACATGATTTGGACAGTCACACCTCTTGACAATTTTGATGTTTGAATCAAAACTCTAAGTGGAGATCTTAATGCACCAGCTACAGCTCTAGAATTGTAATTTATCTCACGTCATACACCCAAACACTTCATAGTCTGTACTGCAGCTGATTTAAGGAAACATCAACAAGTGAGTTTTAGCTGACAACACTGCAGCAGATGATGGCCAGCTGCATAAGGACAAACTGAATTCTGATGAGGACTGCTAACTATCAAAGGCACTTTTCTCAACATTAGTTGAATACGCTTTAAGATGTAGCCTTTTTCAGCTAGACTTTATATTTATACGTCTTCGCTTTAGGCTTTTCATGCATCATCATGTGTAGGCATTGAATACTTGTCTGGAATATTATTTCCCTCCAGATTTGCTGAATGTTTTAATATCACTAACTGGCCTGGGTGCTAATCAGAATGAGAAGCATTTGTGAAATGTATCAAGGACTGTGGGAGGCGAGAGAAGAATCTTCAGAAGTCACAGTTTCTGAATCCAAAAGCCATGGGTTAGGCAGATACGGCAACATGGGAGGTCACGCTGGGAGCAGTGCCTTTTTTGTGTGTTGGTATTATGTGTATATCTATCAAGCGGCTTTAAACAGACATGCCACAGCAATTAATTGATTAAAAGCAGGTGGGGGTTGGCGGGGATTTAGCTGCTGGCCTGGGTGCCTCTGTGTTTCCACACCTCTTAATTGCTCATTGATGGGATTCATACGGCTGTAAATTAACCTTAGAACACTCTATTAGCTTACTGACAAGCCTGTCTCAACCTGGCATATATGATAAGCTGCCAGGGGTGTCTGTTCCTGACCAATCATGTTCAAGTACTCAACACAGAGGAAGTGTCAGGTGATAAAGTGCTTCTAGCATGAAGTCGTTGCAATATACAGAGTATACAGCCAGAGAATGGGAAAAAAAAAAACAAAAAAAACATTTCAGCTTTATAGATTTGTATTATTGATCGCTCTATTCCAGAAAACAGCATTATACTGTACTTTGTAAAAGCTTGCTGGAGTCCAGTAAATATATTCCTAACACCATCGTCAATGTTTTTGTCTGCAAAGTGCTTCAAATGCTGCTCTACTATGCGGTTAAAATTATGATACGCATTCACAATCTTAGCAACTGTAAAAGCAAAGAGATCAAGAGAGTTTTGCAGCAAGCTGCAAACTTTTAACACCACAAACCACACATATTTCATTTAGGCAAAGCTAATCTCATGAAATTCAACCTCATTAGATTACATATAATGACTGTCAAATTGCAAGTTTCCACTTGACTGATAAGTATTGATAATCCCCTAAGAACTTCTCCCATGCAACAACAAAGCACTTTGTTCAGTTAGAATAAAATCACTAACATAACATTATAAATGCAGAAATAAAAAATTCCTCACTCCGGTCAAGCAGGTTCAGGAGGGCTGCATATTGATTATGATGCCTCTTGTTTTTGCTCTGTGGGTGATTTGCCACCTAATGTGAGTCAAAGACAGCAATAAGGCTTGGAGAAACTTTTGACATGATTAAAAAGCAAAACCTACTGTGCACAGCACACTATTTGCAAACACACCCACCCTGTACAGGATTAAAACTGTTGTCTGTGATGATGGAGCCTGAGCCTCTCGTACCTTATTTATTTGCAGCTCTCTGTTCACCCACTTTTTAAATGTCGAGCTAATTTTTTCCTCTGTTTTTTGTGCTGCAGTTCTGTGTTTTAAGCTGTCTGATGGGTGTGTTAAATGGGGGCGTCTACCTTTCAGTGCGAACACTTACTGACTTAGCAGTCATTTAAAAACAACAGATAAATAATTAAATTTGACTCGACAAGGTCACTGTCTGGTATGCTGATGCTGCTATAGTGCTCATACAAAGCAAGGAGAGGGAAAGTTATGTACTGAAATGCAAAAAGCAGCCACAATAAAGTTTACTAAACAATATGCAGAAGTCTTTGGGAAAAGAAACTTTAAAAAAAACATCATTGACATTTTTCTTTAAAGACAAAAGATTCAAGTACAGATATAAAAATTCAAACCTTTTTGCACCATGTCTGCCTTTTTTCATATTGAAAACAGCAAACAGGCAAATGTATGGGTTTTTTTTTTTACCTAAAAATTGATGAATAAATTAAAAAGGTTGTAGCCTGCACACTGAATTATTGTTATTCAGGCCAAACTAACATGTCAATAGTTTGTTCTCTCAGTCCCCATCCCTCAAAGAAATAACAACTGGTTCAATACCAATGTACAGTATCTCATAGAACTAATATTATGTACTACGTCGCTGAAATGTCTTCTCCCTGTGCCTGCGTTCTCTCCGACCTCCTCCCACAGTCCAAAGACATGCAGCTTAGGTTGACTGGCGACTCTAAATTGCCCATAGGAGTGAGTGTGTGTGTGTGTGTGTGTGGCTGTTTTTCTACGTGTCAGCCTTGTGATTGACTGGCGACCTGTCCAGGGTGGACCCCACCTCTCGCCCATTGTCAGCTGGGATTGGCTCCAGGCCCCCCTGACCCTCTTCAGGATAAGTGGTATAGATAATGGATGGATGGATGAATGGACACTGCTGAAATGTGCTGCCACTGGGCTTCTTGGATCAGCACGTCCGATACTAGATCTGCACTAGCTAATGTGTGTGTGTGTGTGTAACAGGCGAGAAGTTTTGTTAACATAGACAGTCCACACAGATACTTTATCAAAAAGACTGCTGTACATGAGGAGTGCTACAGGGAATCACACCATGACTTTTGATATTACGACCTAGGTGATTAAATGGCCTATAGCGGTGGGTGTAAATGCACAGAGTGCACCTGCCACATTTATAGCTGCCATCTCTGATGATGGGAGAGAAAGGGCAGCAGATCTAAAAGGCATTTCAGATTTAACCAACATGTTACAGGTGTTACGAGGTATTTTAAATATCATTTTATGGGAATAGTCGGAGAGATTTTGCAAAGCTCTGCTCCTACATTAGAATACCCAAATTTGATTGAAATTGTTTGAGCAATATGGATAATATTTTTGGTTTTGTTTTGAGAGAAACCAAAACTTTTATATAACTAATCTCCACAATGTTCCATTTGGTGATCTTTTTTGGTTTTCACATTAAGGGTTACTTATCTTCCTCCTCAGATTGAATAATTTCATGAATGCCACAGGCTCAGGGAACTCTTTCAAAGGTTATTGGAAACAATGTTTTATGAAGTTGAAAATTCCTGAAATTCTGTCATTACTGATTTCACCCGACAATAACAGTTTGGTCTGAAGGAGAAAATCCTGAAATACCTACAC